AGGGGTCATCTATATCGCAAACTACAAGTGACATGCGTCTACTATTCTTTTTTTGATTCATTAAACCTCACTTTTGTGAATTTATTTTGTTGGTAAGCAGAAAGAGCATTGGAAGAAGTCAGTCAGATGTCGAAATGGTTGGAAAATATGTGTTGCACATTTTAAACACCTCCTGTCATTATTATACAAGACTGGAATGATATTTGAAACCTAACGTTGTTTTAAAATCTTGTCTGATATAATTGCCTGTAAAGTTATGTCTGTAAAACGGGTAGATCTTAGTTAGTCAAAAGGGAAAAAAACGGAAGTTCTATATAATATAGGTCGTTTTCGGGGTGGCAAGTTTTTCATTCTGTAATAATCGCGTCACAAAACTCAACACTTCTACCGTCCACAAACCTAAGCCAATTATCGAGTTTGCAAGTTTTTGGAATCTTAGCTTATCGTGTTAACACTTCATGCGGACAGAAATTATTGCTTACAGAGCTTTTTTTTTTCAGAATTCTCTTCTATTTAAATCCAGTTTCTTTTCTTAGGTACCCTTTTTTGTCAAAGAGTACTTTTTTTTACCATTTCACCCGTTGAAGAGTGTGGGGCTTAATAGAAATTTTTCACATGGTCAACGGCTGTCAAGGGTAACCTCCGAGAACAACCTTGTAGAGAGTATGAAAGGGCGCTAGTAAGCCGACATTGCGTCAACAAGGAAGCCGCGAAACTGTTCATGAACATTTCCGACAAGAGCCAAAAAAGTTGAACTCCCAATAACAATTTACGACACAATGTATATTACAATATAGATGAGATGAAATTATCAAATGTGGTCAACTTTACATTCGAAAAATTGAATTGAAAAGCAAACTGACTTGCACATTGACTCCAAGATTAACGACGGCTACAGACTTTCATATGTAAGGAACTAATACTAAATACATTTTCCTTCGATATGATCGATTTTTTGGTTTGGAAACTTGATGGAAAGACGTTTGGTCTTGTTTTATGCGGCATCCCGACGACAACTTATGTGATGGTCAACTCACATGCCCCGAATGCATTCCATGGTTTTTTTAAATGTACATGTTCAGAAAAGAGTAAACTTTTTAAAACAGAAACATCAAACCACTGTATATAATAAAATTCACACTTACGCGAAACGAGAGTACAAATGGCTTGTATCAGACTCCACTCTGTCCTCTATGAAAGGCGCACCCCATTAGATGTTCGAGCCAAGTATAACCTACGTAGCTGGTGGTTTTAGCTGAATCCTTAAAGGAGGTAGTGGTGTCGACGTATCACATCCATTTGTGTACCGACATCGCTTACCGTGTTTATTCGATTAAACGCCGCGGCGTTTATTAAATTTTTCGTGATTCGAGCGCGGCATTTTTTCGAGGGCGGTGTTTACTTAAAATCCAATTTATTTCTTGCAAACAATAGTATGCTAACTGACCATTTTAATTTTAAAAAACAGAAGCATGTTTTGGTGCTAGTCTATAAAAAGTCGTTTTTTGTATTGTTCTCAATTTCACAATTTGCATGTTAATATTACTGCAATACACAAAGTGAATAAATATCTAATGTCAGATATGCTTCCTCGACATCAGGTATAATACATTCAAAAGGATTTGTGTTTGGTTCACACAAAATTTCCCTCTGCGATCGAAGCAATGATCGCTGTGTGCCTTTTGAGTCCATTATTCGAATAAACGCCGCATCATGCTGCGGCGTTTATTCGAGGGCGACGTTTATTAATATTTCATTGTGGTTGTAATATTTGTAATATTTCATTTTATTAATTTCATTGTGGTTTTTTTAGGTGCCTCTTTCTGAGTGCGTTTAAGAGGTGGCATATGTAAGTGCGCTTTCACATATTTTTAAAAGACCTCTAGGCATCCTTGTAACCCTAAGAAATAGTAAAACTTACATCTGACAAACTGCAAAGTTAATATGCAAAAGTCAACTAGTTTTTCTGTTCGTAAATACCATAAACTCCATAAGAAATGAAGGAAAGCGCAGACGACAAACATGCATCTTGTTTTTCTTCCCACAATGCCTTCTGTTTCATCACATTTTGTTCAGTATTCCTGACAGGTTCTTAGAGAATAGAGTATAAAAGGCGCACGAATATACAACATTTATCAAAGACTTCAGAGAATACAATGTAAACATAAGGAAAGTATATCACTGTTTAGCGTCTGAGTTTTTTGTTTTGTTTTTTTGTTTTTTTACTCGACGCTTTTCTTGTTGATGTCGACTTTTCAGGGAGATATGGCTCGTATGTCAACAATTTTTGTATTTCTAACCACAATTTACTTGTGAACATGGACACTTTGTATGCCACCGGAAACAGTTTTCTAGTCTGAAACAGGAGGGCTGTGTTAAAACTGACCTCTCTCTCTCACCGCTTTCTTACAGTGTTTATACTGCAGCTTCTGTGATTTGTAGACCCCCCCCACCATTCCCTACTGAACTATACCTATAAAAATACCTATCGAACGTTTCCGCGACAAGACTTGATTCGATTTTAATGAGAGTAAGCAGACCTAAATGAAAATATTTTAAAACACCTTCCTTTCAACTACGAAGGAGCAGGTTGTGAGACGGTCCATGTTTCTTATTATCACTATTATTATCATTATTATTATTATTATTATTATTGTTATTGTTATTATTATTACTTCTTTTTTTCCTTGTGAAAGGATTCGGATGGCTTCAAACGATCGGAGTTACAACGAGAAAACCAGCGAGAAAATAACAAACTATCTGCCTCTACCTTCGAAGTCTCCTTGCTTTAAAACAAATATTTCGTGCAAGGTGACTCTTATCTTCAACCATATCCGTCATGTTATAAGGATTGGATTTGTTGATCAACTATAACATTATAAAAATGCTATTCACTTTCAGTCTGTGTATTATGAAACTTAAAGGAAGGAAAGAAAAACAAAACAAAAAAACCTCATCGTTATGCTACGCCATCTGCCATTCGAATCACGAGAACGTATTTAAATTTTTGCTATAAAACTTACTTTGCTTCATATGTGGGTATGGTTCCTCTTTATTTCTTACCTTCACTATGCTCAAATTTACTGTGATCGGACTGTTCCTCTATATCTTTCAGCGCAATTAGGCAATAATCGTCGCATCAGTTGGTAGCCGAGATGAAAAAGCCCATGAACAATAAATTATTCTCATCAGTTAAATAAAAATTCGATTAATGCTTGCGGCGATAGGGAATGATGAATATTAAAATCAACAAACCAGTTGCATATCGGATGCATTTTGTGCAGCCTTAATTGAAGTTTAGCAATAGAGTATGAAAGGAAACAGAAAGAAAACAGAATTCTTGATGAGCTGTTGCTTCGATTGCTCCTTATTTTGGTCACAGTCTCTGACAGAAAAAAATATGAAAAAAAAAAAAAAAAAAGGATTGTTTTGACATTGTTATCAAAAAAGTTTGACAAGCTCTGGAGAAGAACAAGATTGGAAATGGTTTTGTCTTCTGAATAATGAATGGAATCACAGGTTCTGTGTGTTTAATTCTCCTCAGAACGAAAAAAACTGATTAAGTCTCTGTGGATGAATTCATGATTCCGTGAATTTTTTTACATCTGGGTGCGTTTCTCTTGACAACAAGACTGTAACAAGATAAATGAAGGGACATAAGAAATTCTAGTTTTTTGTGAATTCTAATCTGTCCTCGGAAAAATAGTAAAGTGTATTGCTTGGAGCAGAAACCTAAAGATAGCTTTTCCTCTTTTCTTCTCGAAATGGAACACCAGGCCGTCACAATTTTTTCTAACAAATAAAAGGATTAAGAAAAGAAGTTGTCTAACAGCTCTGGCAGACCTCCTGGCGTAGTGAATAGAAATAAAGAAGAATCCAAAAATTAATAACAAAGACGAATGAACAGATCTCCCCACAAATTGTTGATGCATGACCAACTTGGCCATGCATTTCCATAACGTTTGTCTCCAGAAACGTCTGCAAAGACCAAAACCAGGCTCTGTAATAAGGTATCGCTCTGTTGTCACCGATGAGATTTCAGGGACATTACCCAAGCTTCGATGTTGTTTGCGTGCTTTCTTTCAAATAAAACTTACTCCTAAGGATTCCCCCAGGGTATTTTTCGGTGGCTGACCATCAGTGCCGTAGGCGAAGAATAAATGTTTTGCGGTTGCTCTGCGATAAGGGAATGGGGTCTCACCACACTAGATCCGTTTTGTAAGTAGTTATGGGAGGATAAGCTGCTTCGAAAAACAAAAAATCCTCAACATTTAAAAAAAGTAAACATGAAATGTCTTTTTTATGGTCAGGATATCAATTGCATCACCTGGAATAAAAGTGATTAATTTTGGTGCAGGCTTCGTACTTCAAAGGACATCGCCGACACATAAATGAAGTGTGTACGGGATACCGTTGTATTATCAAGTGTTATGGCCCCGCCGGCATGTATGATCAATCTAACCTGATGTGATAAAAACATTCAAAAACCCCACGGCTCCATCTGTAGAGGACAGAAAATCAACGATATCTATGAAATTTTATAGCATGGTATACTATCGCCAGTTTCTCGTTGTCAATTTGTGAGAACGAGTGGAAAAGAGGGGAAAACTAAAAGAAAGAAAAAACCATGGGGGGGGGGGGTGTGGCGCTAACCCATGCAAATTTTCTCCCGTCTGCTCATTCGTTGGTCTTTCCGACAAAGCGTCTGACACGCGACATTTAATCAAATAGATTTGATGCGTCTCGTTGTTTTGGTTTTCCCTCAGAGGTCACATGACAGTCTTCGAGATGTTATTTTCTTTGTAAATTGCTACCGGTACCTTGATTTCTATGAAGAGAATGCATCAAATAAGATGCATTTCCAGTGATCTGTGATGGGCTATTAGCATACAGTAAGAGAGAAAGCGCCCACTGACAGAGAGAAAGATAATACATAAAATATGCATGGTGATATGGACAATAGCTTCTTTTGAAAAATGGAATTCAATGCTAATATCGTCCTCATGTAATCATATAATCCTTCCAATTTTCATTACATGAAGTCAGTGCAAAATTCTAGCAGCCAGGAGTTTTTTTTTAGTTGTTTAATACATCATATCTCTAGAAAAGCTAACGAGAAATTTCTCTCAACTGCTCGGAAATTTAAATGTACAAATATCCTTTACATTCTTCGCAACGAAGTGGAACCTCGTTTCAATGTTCTAATCATTTAATTTCCTCTTTTCCTTCATGTTAACGAGTTATCTCTACGTATTTATCTTATGAAATTGTCTTCCCACAGGGCTATAACGGCCTGTTCGCAGTGAGATATCTGAAATGGTTTTGTTCAAAATACAGTTAATCTAACCAGTGATTAAAATACATTTTTGGCACACTTCTCGAGCCCTGCTACACTTTGCTTTCTTCAGGTTTGATCTACACTAAGATAAAATTCCAGAGAACGTTAGCCCTTACGTATGTACATTTTCATACAAGAGAAATCAAAACCGAGTTAAGAATGTTCAGTTGTTTTAGATTAACGCTAACGGCTTTTTAAATGATCGACTCCTAGTCGTCAAGCCTCTTCAAATATTTCATTCGTAATAACCGTAGACGGCAACTTAGAGAAGGTGAGAAGTTTGTAGGGGTGTCACTTTTCTTTTACTACTTCCTGTTCTGAGAAACTTGTTGTCCTTCTCTTAACTAAGCAGGCATAAGATTCGGGCGACCAAGAAGGTTATGTTCTTCCAGCTATTGTTTTATGATGTTAATTTTCCTTCAAGTGTGGTCTCTCGTAGCTGATCAAACTGTTCATTTTTATCATTTTCTGTCGCCACCTTACCATCACCATTCTCACTCGCAATGTCCGCATGACTGTTCTTCATTTTCTCCGGATCCAGACCTGTGGACGCCTTGATCATTGTTTGACTCTGTTCAGTACCGTTTGCGGCGTTTTCGCTTTCTTCTTGTTGATGATGTTCGCCTTCATCGCTCGTGTCTTTGGTTTCTATGCTTGTATGCTCTTTGTTCCAATTTTCAGTAACTGCGACCGAATGAGTGCCACTACTAGCATAGTTTACATCATTAGGTATCTGTTCTGTTGGAACTGATCCATCAGGACTCGTTATCTTAGTAGTATCATCCTGCGCCGTTAAATTTTCACCACTCATAGCCGCGGAATCATCCTTAGTGATCGCCGTAACATCTCTAAAATCGTCCACTCTTTTTCCAAAAGTTTGATCCTGACTTGTATCTGAATCGTGAACAGCCGATACTTCTTCACTTCTCTTTAGTTTGTGTGATCCATCGATTTCTTGGGAGGTTTCTTCCATGGTTTTCGCGTTGTTACCTCTCAGAGCCAGGATCTGATCCACTCCCGAGCGTCGTCGGGGCTTTTCATCACCCGAATATCCTCGGGTCTGTTCGTTTTCCTTAATGTGAACACTGCTAAGGAACGCTTGAGGTAAGTCATCTTTTCCAGTTTGCAACGAAGGCTGTTTTTCAACGGTAAGACGAAGTTCTTTATTACTGCTCTCCTCTGTACTACTCCGTCTCTCCAAATTTCCATTTTCGTCGCTCTCTTGTGCTTGATGTCGAGTATTTTGGTCAGCATCTGTCTCATCCCTTGATTCACTTCTCATTATTAATGCAGACTTTGGGTATTCATTGGGTAGCGAATTTCGTGCATTTCTTTCCTCAATGATGGAATAATCTTTAAGACATTCCTCCAGGTTTTTACGCACTGCAATCAAAGAGATGATACAGCCGATTCTTAAGTAAAAACAAATTATAACCTCTGGGCCACTACAGCGATATTTGTATGCAAGGAGAGAAGCGGCGTGAAGCTGAACCGGGTTTTTACTCAAGCGTCCTACGAGCAATTTGGGAAATGTATTACCAATTTCTTGCGACAAAACTACTTTCCGTGTAAAATTGGGGAAGAAACGGTTGAAAAGCTTGCTCAAAATGAATATTAGGCAGATTTACGCGTTTGAAGAGTAAAAGAAAACGTCTTCTGTAACATGGATGAGGAGTGTAGCAAAAGCTTGGTTTCTCTACTTTGGCAGAGGTAGAGCACATTTCGATGGAGCACTTAGAACCAAATTTGAAATAAATCGCTACAGCCAATCAGAAATAACTTAATATCACAAACAGCGAATGAGAATTCAAAGTAAATCCCTGTTAATTCGCTTGCAGCCCGGGAAAACGACAGGAGTGGTGTGATTAAATCACGATTGGCTTTCTTTCCTGTTTTTTTTTCCTCTAATTGGCAATGATGCTGTTGGAATTAAAAAAAAAAAAGCACCACCGCCATCACTGCCTCTTCCAGTGATTAACTAATTTTTGTAACGGATTGGGTAAAAGAAAGGCGAAAGTTTTTTAAGATCAAATAAAAATGTCTGTAACTGGTGACGATACTACTTCAAATATGAAAAAAACCCACCATCATCGGGTGCCTCTTCCTTCAGATTTTCTAGTTCTAAACAGTATGAAGGTCTTCTGCTTCCACCAGTCATTTCCTTCAGCATGCGAGCCCGCTCAACCTCCATTTCAGCCCGTAAAACAGCAGTCTGCTCTCTTTCCTGTGCCATGCGCTGTCGTCTATACGCAGCTTCTGCTCGCTGTTGGGCCGCTACTGTCACTTGGGACTGGGCGCGAGTTTCTGTCGGAGAGATGTGTTATGAAGTTCATGGAGAAATAAGGAATCTTTAGCTATCAGTCTACAAATACGGCAAATAATGTTAGTATAAATAATAAAAAAAATCAAACATATATCAATGGTTCGTATACAGGTATAAAGGGCAAAATAGGCGAAGTTCCGTTATTCCAGAGTATCGAAAGACTTAATGGATTGCATGTTAAAAGCGTGAGATCGAAAATGATGATAATTCGCACTCAGTCCAATACCAAAATTCCAGACTGTACGAAGATAGAAAAGCGTAGGCATCTTAAAACGAGCGCTATTTGACCTGGACTTCGCAATTTTTTTCGTAGTCGGATAACAATGAGGAGGAAGTCACTTGCTAAATTCAAGTAATCCTTCCTTGCCCTTGTTAAAAAAAAAATCCTAAAGAACTTTAGTACAAAGCTCAGCTCCGAAACTGCCTTCCTATCGGGCGACTGCTGCCAATATATTCAAAGATAAAGTGGCAGATTTGATGATGACATCATCTACTAGATAAAACTGTTATCGATTGCGACGAATACCACGCGGCTCGTGGTAATCAGTTTGTTGGCGTACGTCGTGAACTTGATTAGAAAATAAATTGAAAAAAACAATTAACTGAAGCACCTTCACTAGTATGATAACATGTTGAACTGCCTGTTTCAAAAAAGTACTTGGCCCTTAGAGATATATTGGCAATATATATTTTATGACTGGAATTGACTGAGCAGAGAGCAGAGGACGAAACGTAGCAAAACTTTATGTCACAAAAACTAGTATTGGCTTAGGATTTAGTTCTGCTGACATTAAGCTAATGCAAAACGTCCGTTGTTGTGAAACTAATATAAAGAGCATTCGAGACTACTTGAGGATTTAGGGACTCAATAAGAGTTAGGAAAGTGGCCAAACTCTGGATGAAGCCCTCTAAATGACACAGTGTACTCACCCTCATCCAGAGAGTAAGTAAGATCAAAAGAAGATACCACGCTGGACTTTCCAATGCTGCGTGTGAGAGGGTGTGCCACATCACCTAAATCACTGTCATGACGACAAGAGCTGGTGAACGCCCTTTTAATCGGAGATGAGGTGGTCTCTGGCACGATAAACGGCTGGAAAATGGTCATAGTCATCTCATCAGTAACTCTAAGAGCGAGGGGCTTTTCAAACAGGTTATCCACGAAAGGACCACCACTGATAAGGTCATTCTGCCCTGTTCGTGGGGTAACGATTTGCTTAAGGTTTAACAAAGGTCGATCAGTTGAATTGACATCGGCACGACTACTTACTCGATGTTTCTGCTGACCGGTTAATGATGAACGTAAAGCTTTTGCTATTCGCCCCGATGAGATACGGCAGCTTTTATGCCGAGCTCCAAAAGCAAATTGTGTGGTTCTCACAAACCTCGAGGTGTGGAGCAACCGCTTCCGAGAGCAGGACTTCGGCAGACTAAGAGCTGGCAAACGTCGTAGCCTCAACACATTGGCAGATGATTGGGATAACTCCGCAAAACACAAGGTGTTTAACGGCTGCCTGCGAAGGTACCCCATGAGGGCAACAAACTGAACAGCAAAACTAAGCAAAGTGCTTGACGTTTTACCAAAGGTAAAATTCGCTGCACCAGTGAGTCACTGAACTATGGCCCTTATTCAAGATGCTCACTTACTTATAAATCGGTGACAGCAATACTGGTGCCTGCAAATCTGTCCAATGAGCAAAGCTGAACTCCAGAATGGACATCTATTTAACTCCGCCTTCAGTTTAAATGATAAGGTTACATGCATGTCTCAAACGCTTGGTTAGTATTGCAGTGTTCAGATAAGAGATTCTAGGCTTTTGGAAGCCGAAAAAAAAACTTTTTCTGATTAAAAATGATTCGTTATTCCTGTTTGTAGTAAGGTTTTAAGGTGCTGAGTAATTCAATCCTAATGAAAGTGTTTGTAATTTTCTCCAGCACTATTTCAAAACCATCATCCATTTTATCCTGAAAGCATCTGATTATTATCCATATATCCATATCCATATTGACCATTATCCTAATTGTGTGATCAGATAACACGGAGATACTCAAACACTACTAAAGCATGAACGCACGAGCCATTACACTTGAATCTGCTATAGACAATACAGCATCAAGAGGCTTTTAAAAACTGATGTAATTTCACGTTATGGAATAAAGATAATTCTCAGTGTGTTGAATATTTTTGGTACGTGCTGGCCTTTTAAATTTTAAAGGTAATTTGGTCTTGAACAGAGGTTAGATTCTGCGGCAGACTCTTGGGGTTTGGCACTAAGCCGTAATAAGCTCTAACTTGAGGAACACGAGAGCTTTAAATCGTTTGCGATGAAAGTTAAAGAATAAATGACAGACACGCACAAACTCAATTTTAAAGCACTTAAGATACAATGTGAGTCGAGTACAGCTCTTAGTTGCATCGCTTAAAAGCTGGTTTGAAATATACGAGCTCGATGTTTATTTACATGGGTACAGAAGAGATGCTTAAAACTGTGAAATAGGACCAGGAGATTGACTAGTATGGAACAGCTGGGAACATTTTTGAATTGGCAAGAATAGGGACAAAAACTATAACTGTATTGTCAATGATTTTTGGAATCGATTCTTCGGTGTGCCTGTGGGAAGGCGAATGATTGGCAAGTTACACGAAATGAAGAACGACGAGATCACATCTATCAACAATATTATCCATTTGGGTTTAATATATCGCCGAAAAATAGATCGACAACACCAGTGTAATTGAAACTTCCAACTTAAATCCATTTACAGCTGCTTAGTTAAGTATATTTTGATGCGCAACAATTTTTCAAGGTCTTGTTTTGGTATTGATAAAGGTCGAACATGTAACAAGGGCCGACACGTGCCATGGTTTTATCTTCTATTTTATCATTTCATGATTAAAAAGAAAAAAAAACTAGACTTTCTGGCGTCCGTAAGTCAGGATACTTATGCAGAAGTGAAGGCTCACCACTTGACCGAAATTTTTAGGGATGGTTCCTTGTTTCCCCATTTTGTTTTCTAAGGTAAAAATTTCCATAATATTTAAATTTTGTCTCATTTGTAGTTTCCAAAATTTGTAGCAGACTGAGTAAAGATTTAATTGAATTTCATGACTCCGGGCGCTGCTTTGTGATTTCTTTAAAATATTTACCAACTTTTAACCCAACATAGTTCTCAAATTGTTCTGATCTCTCCCTTTGGCACCTCAAGCCTTAAATATTCTGGTGTGAAAGAAAACCTCTTATGCAAACCGTCTGCTGGTCTGATTATTTAAACAAAGTTTAGTCTTTATGTGGCAAAACCGCGTCCTAAACAATCCTCAATTTTGCGGAACCTTTTATCTCAACATTTATTCTTGTGACCAATGTCAAGAGGGCCGAGAGCTAACAATGGAAAGACATTTATTTCATCAAATCAATACTCCTATAAAAAAAAGCCTGAGACTCACTGATTGTGTAAAACCGTGGTTTGGGTTAGACCTCGCGTAAATGACCGGCCCGAAAGTCCCTCCTCTCCTTTAATTGTTCAATCTGTTCGACTAGAAAAGCAACGATTAAGAAACAATCTTTGAACTTAATTCACATCTCAGTTGTAACGTCTACTATCAAACAAGAGATCGTCTCATAATATCGCATGCTGAGAGAGTATATCACTCAAGAAAATTAAACTTATGCATTTTTTTAACGAGCTTTCAGATATTTTGCAAGACCGAAGAATGTTTATATCATTACTAGCCACCATCTCAAAATTGATTACTTCATAAATTCGAAAGATCCTTCAGTCAGACTCTAAATTAATAAGATAGTAGCCAGAAATCTTGTCACTGGACCATTAACTTTCCATCTAAACCAATCACATCATTGAAAAGTTGTCAAACGATACTCAGTCAGATCAAGTAATCGCGGCAAATGATACTTCCTAAAGTTGTTATTTGTTAATCTTTCTTACGAACTACTTTCCGGGCTAAATGACGTAAATTTGAAAGGCCAAGTGGCTGCAATTAATTTTTTTTTTCGCAAGTATAGTGACCTTATACCTCTAATCCGTTTACAGCCTATTAACTTTGACACAAAAGACTGCATGTGGCGTTTCACTCCACGTCAGATGCAGAGCTCTACGGTAATAGACGGATACGAAAGCGGATATGAAATTCTGAAGCTGGGTTGTAATGACGGCATGAAAAAGTGAAGCTTTGATGCCGGAGCCGGGCAAAACGAGATTCCGGATTAGCGTGAAACTTCTGATGACTTTTTTTTAAGTTTCTTATTTTTTTTTTTTTTGGCTGCTTGCGTATCCAAGTAGTAATTTCCCTTGTTCAGTTAAGAAAACAACTTCCAAAAGGCCCCAACTTTTAATTTTCATATATACATCGATGATTATGGCAAAAAAAAGTGTTGAAATATCTTGAGACCTCCCTTTAAACGGGAAACTCTGTGGAGCCGTACTAAAAAGTTAATTCAGTCTACAACTCCGATACCAACATCGATCACCAAAATCAGTTCAAACTTTAAGAATCATTTTGGATCTACAAACAATAAACGAGATTGTCTCCAAATATTATTAGCATCATGAGAAAAATGTATTATTGAAATAAACCTAAAGCATTTCCAACGAGCTTTCAGATATCACTTAAAAGACAAAGCCGAAGGCAAGCATTAAGTTATACTGACTTGACGAAATACCAAGATCGATTGCCCCCAAAATTCATAAAATTACTCTATTAAGATTTACAAGGTAATATATTAGCCATGAATTTCTTCTTTATAGTATCTTCGATGAATTATCTTCACTTAAACAGGTCGTTTTGCATCTGATTGTACTACAAGTTAAAAGCAGGCAGACTCGGAAACGGCAGAAGACCGGCGCCGGGATTTGTTTGCTTTCAGAGCAAATAAAATTGATGTTTCTTCGGTTGTTATGGCGGTAGACAAACAGAAAGTTGTTAAGAGATTATGCGTATTAGTTGAGAAATGTTTCAAATAATTTAAACGTAAATTATAGTCAAAATTCAGGTCCAGTATGACTGGAGATGCGGTAGCTGAGTGGAAATATATGTAATCAAGCTCGAGTGTGAATGTTGCATGTGTCTTTGAGGGTTTATAACTTCTCTCCGTTGCCAGAACCCGCGGGGAAGCAAATATCAATATCTGCAATACAAATCTTACACTAAAAGTTTCCCGAAATATCTCCTTCGATCGCGACAGTCAAAATTGTTCAAAATTCCTCATACAAATACTTCTGCCAGTTATCTCAATATATCGCTGAACATTTGCTTGAAAGATTAATTGTTTCATGCGGAAATGAACGAATATCATAATTTTATACTATGAAACTAAATTAACTCACTCTTTCTTTATATTAGCCTTGATTGCTCGGTCAAATACAAATTAACTTTTTCATGCTAAATATGCCGTTGATCGAGCATCAATAAACTAAGAGCAGAAAAGTGTGGTTAGGCTATACACTAACCAAGAAGTGAAAACGTGTCCAAACGCCGTAAAATTTAGTAATTGCCGAGTCTTTGCTCAGTGGCTTTAGACTCTAAACGCTGTAGGCCATTAATTTTCACAAAATTTACCTCACGCAAGGGAATGATTCAGTGAGTATCGAACTAATTTATCGAGCCATAATTCTCTGATTTAATTTATCCAGCGCTGACAACCACCGCAGCTTTCAGGCAAAATACCAGCCTCACCACAACAGAACCACAGTGGTCTTGACGAATTGGATTTATCGACATAAAAGATAACCTTAGGGACAAATACCTACTTCTTTTCGGAAGATGAGAGCTGGTTCCACAACCCATTTGTCATACGATGCGATTAGCCTCTATGAATCGTCTTCGCTGCAGTTACAATGAACATTGCGTCTTCCTACTCAGTGCGTGTTTTGACGTTGGCTCTCATTTACTATCGTAAGAATGTCAACTAGCCTTTTGTCTGGGTATTAGCACGCGGCTTAGTGATTGGGTCGAGTGGATAATGTAATGGCATAATAGACTGTAAAATAGAAAATCCGTGTAAAGTAAGATTAGGTTGAGCCACATGAGGGCATAACGATAGGTAATGAGTAAAGCCACTCGCCTCGTAATTTAATCGGAGAAATCTTGAGCTTTAAAGAGACAAATTTCGCCGTGAACGCCGAGCATATCACGTACAAAGTCTGTTATTACTAAATTTAGTAAGTTTAGCATCAAAGTATTACGTGCGATCTCCGGTGTGTGAGAGTATTTCAGTGATCAAATTCATCGAACCGGAAGGAGTAAAGGATTTGTTTAAATGTCACGTAGTTTTCTTCGAAAGATATCAAATACTCTCTGGAAAAGCCTTTTTTGCTTTTTATGTATTGTACGGTGTTTTACATACGTACTGTGACCATAGACACAATGGGGCAACTATCGACTACAATCAATCTGTCAAGCCACTAATATAGTCACCGGATGTGGGGGCTAATCTTGTGTGACGCACGTAATTGGAAAATAATCAATATCGAGCACGCTAATCGTTTCCAGTAAATCATTTGATGTCTTTGACC